GATTATAATTACTGTCGTTGCGACGATAATTATTATTATTATTATTATTATCATATATGTATATACATAGGTAATGGACACTGTGCATCATTTTATGGTTCCACTTTTCCCTTCGCTTTTACCTCCATCCATCCATCCCCGCAGTTCTCTATGGTGTTTCTCATCGCGAGATTTTATGACCGACCGTGTCACTTACTGCCAATGTAAACGTACTGCCAACCAGTTGTATATTATACATATTTTCAATGATCAGCTTTTACGATCTATACGTAACGCAAAGTTATACATGTGAAAACTCGTTCCTTTTACCCTTGCCTCCGTAATTGGTTGAATTTTCGTACGCTTGACGTGAGACCCTTTGCGACGAGTCAACTAAAATTGAACCGATAGCTCTTTTGTCGGAGACGTGTCACTGGCCAAACAACGAAAAATCTTGCATCCGCTCGCTCCCTCCTTTCCCTATCTCTTATGTTTTATGATGATAGCATTTATTGAATGAACCGCGTGAGATGTTGTCAATTACCACTTGACACGTGTTACAACGATGTGTTGCAAAATTACTTTATTCGAGAGAAGAAGAAAAACAAAAAAAATTTAAGCTTAAAAAATCAACGTTGACACATGTATTTTATATTGTAAATTGTTTTTGTTATTATTATTATTATTATTAATGTTATTATATTATTATTGTAATATTTGGCAAACAAAAACCACGAGTACCTAAACCCGAAAAGTTTCATTCATTTGCGGATGATTATAATATCGTTGGCTTTTTAGAAAATACGATTGAACGACTAAATGTGCGAAACGAACAAATAAGGGCTGTGAAAAATTTTAACTTAAAAAGGCGACGGAGCGTTGGGTTTAGGTACAAATGATCAAGTGCAACAGTACATACTTTTTGAACGTGTTTGAAAACTTTTTTTTTTTTTTTTTCTTTCAGTATGTCTAGTGAGAGAGATTGATCGAATGTTTGATCGATTGGTTGATAAAAATGATTAAAATAAAAAAAAAAAAAGGAAAATCAATTTAATAAAAAAAAAAAATTTGCAGATAATCTTGCTAAGAAGCATACTTGTACATATTGTATACATTAAAAGTGGATTTACAGTTTTTATTTGTGCTGAAATGGCGACCAAGGTGCTGGCTATTACGAAACTCACAAACATACACGTGCATAATCGTATATACACTTTATTCACGAGGTCCAAGAATGTTATTTAGCGTTTAGTGTTATTAATTCGTAAATGATTATTCAACTTAAAATACTATATGTACATATACAATTAAATTTTAGTAGATCTATATATTCTGTATAAAATATTAAATATTGAATAAAAATATGATGTTATTATTAAGAAGTATATGTATATGTTCGCGTATACATAATACATAGATACATATATATATATATTGTACGTTATGTAGTGCGCGAGTCGTTGTATCTCTGTGAGATTATATGTCAAGTCGGAGAGGAAGGGCGGCATACCGCCGTATCGCATTTGTGCTGGTATGATGCTTTTTTACAATATCACATAAACAGTAAAAATGAAAATAAAATGTTTTTGATTATTCGATTCGTTTGATGCTCACATGTACGCACAGAGAATAGTTTTTGCAAAACATAATTTGTATATATTTGCTTTGTTTTATTTGATTTATCATCATGAATTCGAAAAAAAAACATTATTGAATGATTATTCGTAAAGAACGCCCTTCCTGCGCCCAGAGGTTTACGTACATCGTAGAAAAACAAAAATCACAAAAATGATTATTATTATCATTATTATTGTGACGATTTATAATATATAATTAAATTAAATTATTGATGCTCCAAATTTTAATGTAAAAAGTTGCTTGTCAAGTTCGGATGAAATATTTTCCTTTGTAAATAATGCGTTGAAAAAGTTACTTATGGAAAGATTACATCTTTCATTGAATTTTAATAGTAAGGTAAACAAAATAACTTAAATAAAGTAAACATGAATGTTTTAAGGGTTAGATGCAGCATCGCGTGAATGAGAGAATATTTTAACAAATGGCAAGACTTGTTTGTGCTCTCTGAATAATTACAACTCGAATAACAAACTTGACATTTTTCTTAAAAAAAAAAAAGAAAAAAAAAGGGAATGGATACGATTACTGTAATTTAAATGACGATAATAGTGATAATGATAATGATGAAAATATGTACATGTACACACACATACAAAAAGATGTCCAATGCTGCCAATAATGCCTGTGACAGTCCCGAAAATTAATTCAAATCTGGCTTGAAAAATGAAAAACAAATTTTCAAATTTTTCAACGTATAAGTATCGAGGACACGCCGATGATACAAAACCAAATGCCTTTTTCTAAAAACAGTGTTGCCTTTTAATAAAAAGTAATAGAAAATTAAAGACGAATCAAAGAAAAAAAAAAGTATCACTGCAGTTTCTCATTTAAATCAATATAAAATTACATGTACAGGGGTACTCGATTGAATTAAATAAATACGAAAATATTTTTAAAAATGTACTACCGTGTTTGTAATTTTCATCAATTTTTAAAAATAATTACCAATATGCAAAAGTAATTATCACTTATATCCACGTACTCTTACGCAACAGTGAATGAGCGAACAAATAAAAAACTATATACATATACGTCCACATGTATGTATATATTGAAATGAATTTTTAAAAAAAGCATATTTGAAATAAAACAGATGTATATTTCTACAATTAAAAAAAAAAAAAAAAAAAAAAAAACATACAAGAGTACAATATGAAAACATGTGTACCTTTGTTCACTATTATTCAATTTTTACAGAAGCATGGTTTCATAAAGAAAAATGGAAAAAAAAAAGAAAATAAACCGTTACACACTACGATAACATATTAGCCAGAATTCTATTTTTAAAATGATGGAATTGACATATTTGACACTTATAAAATTTAGCGACTAATTTAACAAATAAGACTCTGTTATAGTAAGGATAAACATATAATTATTTACCTGTAAAGTATCTGAAATGCGATGGATTGACATAGGGAATTCTAATGTAACGTTCTGTGATTCGTTGTCTGTAGGTGAAATTTAATAAAATATTCTGTATGATGAAAATACCCAAGTTTTTACTATACTATATCCCTAGCGTTATTATCATTAAAACATTTAAATGTCATTAACTCGTTAACTCGTAATTTAATTTTTTTTATCTCTTATCGTATTGTTGAAATTGGTAAGTTATATCATTTGGAGCAGTAGATAATCGACTGCGTTATGTTATATTTATATATACATTAGCTGCTGATTAGTAAATGATTACAGGTATATATACACAAAGGACACCGTTATCACTGATGGCGGGCAAGTAAGTATATGTGAGTTAACGATCTGATAGTACGGGTCGGCGGGTGCATTGATATGTTATCAAAACGTCCGTGATAATAACAACATTTGACGATACCTGAGTAATGAACTAATAATGAATTATTAATTGAGTATTGGGTTTAATAGTTCACTTAGAAATTAAAAGACACATGCTTGCGGTGATCCTAATCTAATCGATGGAAAATTCATTTGAATACCAATTATATACGTATAATCATTATGTTTACAATGAAAACAACGTAATAAAATATTTGTTACTCGCATCTTATCAACGATAAGGTACATTGAATTCATTCCATAAAAATATGCTGCTGACGATACGACGGAGGGTGGAGCAGTGAAGATGGGTGTGGGACTTTTGGGCTGCGTGTGTGCGTGTTAGCCTCGATATATATACATATATACACACTCCGTACCCACACTAATTTAATTCATTACATACAGCTATACAGTCTACTCTTCTACGCTTAGTAGATTTCAGTCACTGTTGGCGTCACGTCAATGCGCGCTGTGAGCCGTGAGTCATGGCTAAATAAACAATTCAGTGTGTATACACAATTAAAGGTATTGAAGTATTTCTCTTGCGACCTGCATCGCGCATCTGCACATGCATGGTTTAGGACGAAGAAGATTACAGGGTAAAGAGAGAACGTTGAGAAAGTGACTTGTAACCCAAACGACCCGACCAGGAACCAGGAACTCCGAGAGAGAGAGAGAGAAAACAACGCTACTACATAGGTACGAACGTGAGTAACCCAATAAAATATAACATAAAATATAGGCTGGCCGATGGGATGGGAAGAGATATAGTATACTTGGGCTCCAATTTATTCCATCATCCATAACATAACGGAGCTGTAACAGCCGGTGTGGCATACACAGGGTATACACCTACACTCTCTCGTGGAAGCGCGTGTACGTAGGCATGTAGGGTCTTATCCGTGTGATCCAGCAGGAGTATAATAGACAGCGGACGCGAACAGTGGAGGGCTGACGTGCGACGTTAATTAACCCGTTGATCTATCTCCAGCAGCAAATCGGAGCACGCATACCACACCCGCACACCACACCCGCGCACGGCCATTTTGGCCAGTAGAGGAGGCTAGCTCGCTGCAGAAGCAGTAGAAGCACCAGCAGCAGCGGTCTACCGAACGACCGGCGCGATGGATCAGCAGATCACCCCGAAGGAGGTCAAGATCCTCGAGAATCCCGAGGATATACAGGACAGGAGGCAGCAAGTACTCGGCCGGTATGCCAACTTCAAGGCGGAGGCGCGCAACAAGCGCGACAAGCTCGAGGACTCCCGACGCTTCCAGGTATACCTACGACCTTCTGCTCGATACTGTTGACAAATTTTACAATATTCATACCTTTTGTTTATTTATCTTTGTATTGCTTGTCGTGGACAGTACTTCAAGCGCGATGCCGACGAACTGGAAACCTGGGTCTATGAGAAGCTGCAGGCTGCCTCTGACGAGAGTTACAGGGATCTCACCAACCTCCAGGCAAAGATACAGAAGCATCAGGCCTTCGAAGCAGAAGTGGCTGCCCATTCCAATGCCATTGTTTTGCTTGACAATACTGGATTGGAAATGATCGATCAGCACCATTTTGCCAGTGACATCATTCGCAAGCGACTCGGTGAGTAAAGAATCGGCCTGTATATTTGAATACCAATGCTGAAGGTTTAACTTTTTAATTATTTGTTAAATTAAATAAAATTTCAAATTCTTTGAGCATGTTAAGAGCATCCTTTCAATACCTGCTCTTTTTAATCTTTTTTTGTTTGTGTTAATTTTTTTGATCAAAGATTCAATCCTTTTAAGTCTGAAAATAGGTGTGAGAAATAAGAATACTTAATAACTTTTTTTTTTTTTTTTTTTTTACTAACATAATATTTTTTGCTTTATTTTTACTTGATTCCAATACTCATTTCATTATTTGAACTCGCAGATGACACATCTATGGAATATAATGGCAGGAACTTTCACTACTTGCCGTTGTTTTCGCGGTTTGACCAAGTATTGGCCAGCTTGTCGTCTGACAAACCGTGTATACCTCTGTATGAATAAAAATCGAGTAACACAATTATCTTTTCCATGTGTAGANTTTTTTTTTTTTACTAACATAATATTTTTTGCTTTATTTTTACTTGATTCCAATACTCATTTCATTATTTGAACTCGCAGATGAGTTGCACCGCCTGTGGCAGCTTCTACTGGCGCGGCTGGCAGAGAAGGGTCTCAAGTTGCAACAGGCTCTAGTGCTGGTGCAGTTTCTGCGTTACTGCGATGAAGTGATGTTCTGGATCCACGACAAAGAAGCTTTTGTCACAACCGATGAGTTTGGCCAGGACCTCGAGCACGTCGAGGTGCTGCAACGCAAGTTTGACGAGTTCCAGAAAGACATGACCAGCCAGGAATACCGCTTCACCGAGGTGAACGAGCTGGCGGACAAGCTGCTCTTGGACGGGCACCCGGAGCGCGACACCATACAGCGCCGCAAAGAGGAGCTCAACGAGTCTTGGCAACGGCTCAAACAGCTGGCAATATTGCGCCAGGAGAAACTCTTTGGTGCTCACGAGATCCAGCGCTTCAACCGCGACGCCGACGAGACCATGGCCTGGATCGCCGAAAAGGACGCGGTCCTGGCGTCTGACGACTTTGGCCGGGACCTCGCCTCGGTACAGCTGCTGCAGCGCACTCATGAGAACGTAGAGCGCGATCTTGCCGCTCTTGAGGACAAGGTGGCGACGCTGAGCAGCGAGGCAGACAGGCTCGCGGGCATCCATCAGCCCGAGCACTCGCAGCAAATCCAGTCCAAACGAGCGGAGATCCTGCAGTCTTGGGAGGGTCTCACGGCTAGGGCCAAGGAGCGCCGCTCCAGGTTGGATGAATCCTACTGCCTGCATCGCTTCCTTTCCGACTATAGCGACCTCGTCTCCTGGATGAAAAACATGCGGGCGATCATATCGGCTGACGAGCTGGCCAAAGACGTAGCAGGCGCCGAGGCTTTGCTCGAGCGCCACCAGGAACACAGGAGCGAGATAGACGCGCGTGCCGACAGCTTCGAGGGTACGGCTTTGGCGGGTGGCAAGCTCCTCGAGCGCGATCACTACGCAGCTGAAGAAGTTGAGCGCAAACTCGATTCATTGACCGCCGACAAGACGGCGCTGCTCGAGCTCTGGAACAAGCGACGCGCTTTGTACGAGCAGTGCATGGACCTCCAACTCTTTTACCGGGACACCGAGCAGGCGGACACCTGGATGGCCAAGCAGGAAGCCTTCCTGGCCAACGAGGATCTTGGCGACTCCCTCGACAGCGTTGAAGCTCTGATCAAGAAGCACGAAGACTTTGACAAGACTCTGGCTGCCCAAGAGGACAAGATCAAGGCGCTCGATGAATTCGCCAGCAAACTGGTGGAGGGCGGACACTACGCAGCTGAAGAGGTAGCCCAACGCAGAGCCGAGCTGCTGCGACGCAGGTCAGATCTTCTCGAGAAATCGGCGCTGCGTCGGCGAGCCCTCGACGACTCGTACAAGCTGCAGCAGTTCGAGCGCGACTGTGACGAGACTAAGGGCTGGGTCAACGAAAAGCTCAAGTTCGCGACGGACGACAGCTACCTCGACCCGACCAACCTCAATGGCAAGCTCCAAAAGCACCAGAACTTCGAGCAGGAGCTCCAAGCCAATCGTACTCGTATGGAAGAGATGGTAGCGCAAGGCGAGGAGCTTTGCGCGGCCGACCACTACGCGTCGGAGCGCGTGCGCTCCCGTATCGACGAGATCGTCGGACTCTGGTCGTCCCTGACCGAGGCCAGCGAGCGCAAAGCCGCCAAACTTCAAGAGGCTGCCCAACAACAGCAGTTCAACCGTACGGTCGAAGACCTCGAGTTGTGGCTGTCGGAACTGGAGGGCCAGCTGCTCTCCGAGGACTATGGCAAAGACCTGACTTCGGTCCAGAACCTCATCAAGAAGCAGGCTCTCCTTGAAGCCGATGTCGCCTCGCATCAAGAGCGCGTCGAGGGGTGCGCCCAGGCGGCTGCACGCTTCGTCGAGGCCGGTCATTTTGACGCAGACAACATCAAGCTGAAACAGCAACAGCTGCATAGCCGTTACGCCGGGCTCGAGCGACCTATGCTGGCGCGCAAGCAGCGCCTGTTGGACTCACTGCGGCTGCAGCAGCTCATTCGCGACGTCGAGGACGAGGAAGCTTGGATCAGGGAGAAAGAGCCCGTGGCGGGTTCGACAAATCGGGGACGTGACCTCATCGGTGTGCAAAACCTGCAGAAGAAGCATCAGGCCGTACTCGCCGAGATCAACAACCACGAGGGGCGAGTTGCAGCGGTCTGCGCTGCCGGCTCGCGTATGCTCGAGGAGGGTCACTTTGCTGCCGAGGAGATCAGCCAGAGGCTCGCCGGTCTCGACGAGCGCTGGGGCCAGTTGAAGGACAAGGCACGTCAGCGCAAGCAGGACCTCGACGACTCGCTCCAGGCTCACCAGTACTTTGCCGACGCCAACGAAGCCGAGTCCTGGATGAAGGAGAAACGTCCCATAGTGACAAACGCCGACTACGGCAAGGACGAGGACAGCAGCGAAGCTCTACTCAAGAAGCACGAGGCCCTGCTCAGCGACCTAGAAGCCTTTGCTCGCACGATCGCTGCCCTTGGCGAGCAAGCGGCCAACTGTAGGCAACAGGAGGCACCCCAGGTCGATTTAGCTGGTAAGGAATGCGTGCTCGCGCTCTACGATTACACGGAGAAGTCGCCACGCGAGGTGTCGATGAAGAAGGGCGACAGTCTGACCCTCCTTAATAGCAGCAACAAGGACTGGTGGAAGGTAGATTATATACATTGATTCATTTGACTGTGATATTTGCACGTTTAAATAAATACATGAGAAAGCTGCATCATTTTACAGTGAAGCGATATCATTACTCATACCACTAATTGCATAAATAGGTTGAGGTGAACGATAGACAGGGTTTCGTGCCCGCAGCCTACGTGAAGCGCATCGAGCCCGAGGCTGGACTCAGTGCGTCACAGCAGGAGCTTGCCCGCGAACAGGGCTCCATTAAGGCACGCCAGGCCCAGATCGAGGCCCAGTATGAGGAACTGTTACGTTTGGCACACGATCGCCAGAACAAGCTCAACGAGACGGCTAAAGCGTACGTTCTGGTGCGCGAGGCGGCCGATCTCGCCAGTTGGATCAAGGACAAGGAGAACCATGCCCAGGTTCAGGACGTCGGTGAGGACCTCGAACAGGTCGAGGTCATGCAGAAGAAGTTTGATGACTTCCGCGCGGACCTCAAGGCCAACGAGGTGCGCCTCGCCGAGATGAACGAGATCGCGGTGCAGCTGATGAGCCTCGGACAGACGGAGGCCGCGCTCAAGATCCAGACCCAGATCCAGGAGCTGAACGATAAGTGGACGAGTCTGCAGACGTTGACAGCCGAGCGCGCCAGTCAGCTTGGCTCTGCCCACGAGGTGCAACGCTTCCATCGTGACGTGGACGAGACCAAGGACTGGATACGCGAGAAGGACGCTGCCCTGAACAATGACGATCTTGGCAAGGATCTGCGCAGCGTGCAAGCACTCCAGCGCAAACACGAGGGTCTCGAGCGAGACTTGGCAGCCCTCGGCGATAAGATCAAGCAACTCGATGAAACAGCCAACCGGCTGATGCAGTCGCATCCCGACACCGCCGATCAGACCTACGCCAAGCAAAAGGAGATCAACGAGGAGTGGACCCAACTCACCGCCAAGGCCAACTCGCGCAAGGAAAAGCTCCTCGACTCTTACGACCTGCAGCGCTTCCTCAGCGACTACCGTGACCTCATGGCCTGGATTAACTCGATGATGGGCCTCGTTGCCTCCGAAGAGCTCGCGTCTGACGTGACTGGCGCCGAAGCGCTCCTTGAGCGCCACCAGGTGAGTGGATAATATTTACTTTGATACTTTTTCCCATAAGGTTCCTAAATTATACTTGTGCATTACATTCTGTATGTCATGATCCACTATTACTGTTTGTCCGTTTTTCGTCTTTGTAGAGCCACAGAACGGAAATCGACGCGCGATACGGTATTGTACCACAGGTATTGCAGAAATGCACATGTCTCTATACGCGTGTACAAGCGTGAAAACAGACTTGGCTCTTTATTTTTTAGCAGTCCTCGCATCCCCCGATTAACGCTCTTATCCGTCAATTGAATTTAACAAAAATCGCATCTGCTTATTTGAATTTTTACTATTCGGCTTATTCGTTTAATTGTGCGTAGTCTGACCGTTTGTGTGATTTATTATATTTGCCGTTTTTTTTTTTTTAACGATTGGAGCGAAAAATGTAACCATAGAGCGTGTGTGCAAACTATGGGAGTTTTATTAAAGAACTAATAGAGTAATCTTTTTATCGGTATATAACTAAATTTTGTTGCTGAAGCATGTTTTTATGGTGGAAACCATCGAAATACATCGTTTAGGAGAAACGTGCGTTTGCGTGTGAAAATATTTTTCTTTTTTTGTTTTTCTTTTTTTTTGTTCGACAATTTATCTTTTATTTCAGCATGAAATGTTTTTGTTTTTAAAAGGTTTAAATTGATTATGACGTTTTTTTAGTTATTAACAAGAAACAAATTATCAGAACATGAATTAAATACAAGCTTCAATTAATTATATATTATATAGAAATTATATAAACATTAATCAAATTGTTTGTAACTTTAATAGAACAACAAAAATTCACCTCAAAACTTTTCAACGACGATTAAAAGTTTTCAACACTTTCATCGTAAAGTTAAAACGCGTCCGATTCACTTTTGCAGGAGCACCGCATGGAGATAGACGCGCGTGCCGGCACGTTCCAAGCGTTCGAGTTATTTGGCCAGCAGCTGCTACAATCCAACCACTACGCGAGCGTCGAGATCCAGGAGAAGCTCGAGTCGATGAGCGAGGCGCGCCAAGAACTCGAGAAGGCCTGGATCCAGAGGCGCATGCAGCTCGACCAGAACCTCGAGCTCCAGCTCTTCTGCCGGGACTGCGAACAGGCCGAGAACTGGATGTCGGCGCGCGAGGCCTTCCTGAGCAGCAGTGGCTCCGAGGATGGTGGCCTCGAGACCGGCGACAACGTCGAGGCTCTGATCAAAAAGCACGAGGACTTTGACAAGGCCATCAACGCCCACGAGGAGAAGATCGCGGCCCTGCAGACGCTCGCCGATCAGCTGATCGCGGCTGAGCACTACGCCGCCCGTCCGATAGACGACCGCCGCTGCCAGGTGCTCGACCGCTGGCGTCACCTGAAGGACGCCCTGATCGAGAAGCGCTCGCGCCTCGGTGAGTCCCAGACGTTGCAACAATTCTCGCGCGACGCCGACGAGATGGAGAACTGGATCGCCGAAAAGCTACAGCTTGCCACGGAGGAGAACTACAAGGACCCGGCCAACATTCAGTCCAAACACCAGAAGCACCAAGCCTTCGAGGCCGAGCTCGCTGCCAACGCGGACCGCATACAGTCTGTGCTCGCGATGGGTGGCAACTTGATCGACAAACACCAGTGTGCCGGCAGCGAGGAAGCCGTGCAGAAGAGACTTGCCTCGATCGCTGACCAGTGGGAGTATCTCACCCAGAAGACGACCGAGAAGTCGCTCAAACTCAAAGAGGCAAACAAACAGCGTACCTACATAGCCGCGGTCAAAGACTTGGACTTTTGGCTGGGTGAGGTCGAGAGTCTGCTGACCAGCGAGGACGCAGGCAAGGATCTGGCTTCGGTGCAGAACCTGATGAAGAAGCAGCAGCTCGTCGAAGCGGACATTGGGGCTCACGAGGAGCGCATCCGCGACATGAACTCCCAGGCGGACTCATTGATCGAGAGCGGCCAGTTCGAGGCCCAGGCGATACAGGAGAAACGTCAGAGCATCAACGAGCGCTACGAGCGCGTGCGTAATCTCGCGGCTCACAGGCAAGCCCGGCTAAACGAAGCCAACACTCTGCACCAGTTCTTCCGCGACATCGCTGACGAGGAGAGCTGGATCAAGGAAAAGAAGCTGCTCGTCGGTTCGGATGACTACGGACGCGACCTCACCGGCGTCCAGAATCTTAAGAAGAAACACAAGCGTCTCGAAGCCGAGCTAGCGAGCCACGAGCCGGCGATACAGGCCGTGCAGGAGGCTGGCGAGAAGCTGATGGACGTCTCGAATCTTGGCGTACCGGAGATCGAACAGCGGCTCAAGCTGCTCAACCAGGCCTGGGCCGAGCTCAAGCAACTCGCCGCGACGCGAGGCCAAAAACTCGACGAGTCACTTGCTTACCAACAGTTCATCGCCAAGGTCGAAGAGGAGGAGGCCTGGATCGCCGAGAAGCAGCAGCTGCTCTCGCTCGAGGACTGCGGCGACACGATGGCCGCAGTGCAGGGCCTGCTTAAAAAGCACGACGCCTTCGAGACTGACTTTGCCGCGCACGCGGAGCGCTGCCGCGAGATCGGCGAGGCAGGCGACGCTCTCGCCGCGGCTGGCAATCACCGGGCCGATGCCATCGCCCAGCGCTGCCAGCAACTCCAGGCTCGTCTCGAGCAGTTGGCCGGTCTCGCGCGCGGCCGCAAGGCCAGTCTCGCCGACAACTCGGCCTACCTGCAGTTCATGTGGAAGGCCGACGTCGTGGAGTCGTGGATCGCCGACAAGGAGAGCCACGTGCGCTCCGAGGAGTTTGGCCGAGATCTCTCGTCAGTGCAGACACTGCTCACCAAGCAGGAGACCTTCGACGCTGGTCTGCACGCTTTCGAGCACGAAGGTATACAGAACATTACGAGCTTGAAGGAGCAGCTACTCGAGGCCGGCCACGAACAACGCGCGGCCATACACAAACGCCACGGCGACGTGATAGCCCGCTGGCAGAAGCTGCTCGCTGACTCGCAGGCGCGCAAACAGCGGCTTCTACGCATGCAGGAACAGTTCCGACAGATCGAGGAGCTCTATCTGACTTTCGCCAAGAAGGCTTCGGCCTTCAACTCGTGGTTCGAGAACGCCGAGGAGGACCTCACGGATCCCGTGCGCTGCAACAGCATCGAGGAGATCAGAGCGCTGCGTGAGGCTCACACCCAATTCCAAGCGAGCCTGACCTCGGCCGAGGTGGACTTCTTGGCACTTGGTGCCCTTGACCGTCAAATCAAGAGCTTCAACGTTGGTCCGAACCCATACACCTGGTTCACGATGGAGGCCCTGGAAGACACCTGGCGCAACCTGCAGAAAATCATCAAAGAGCGTGACGTGGAGCTCGCAAAGGAAGCACAGCGTCAAGAGGAGAACGACAAACTGCGCAAGGAGTTTGCCAAGCACGCCAACGCCTTCCATCAGTGGCTTGCGGATACGCGTACCTCCATGATGGAGGGTTCGGGTTCGTTGGAGCAGCAGCTCGAGGCGACCAAACGCAAGACCCAGGAGGTCAAGGCGCGTCGCCAGGATCTGAAAAAAGTCGAGGATCTTGGTGCCATACTCCTGGAGGAGCATCTCATTCTCGACAATCGCTATACCGAACACAGTACCGTCGGCCTTGCCCAACAATGGGACCAGCTCGATCAACTCGGCATGCGCATGCAACACAACCTCGAGCAGCAAATACAGGCGCGCAACCAGTCGGGCGTCTCGGAGGGTGCACTTAAGGAGTTCTCCATGATGTTTAAGCACTACGACAAAGACAAGAGCGGCCGTCTCAATCACCAAGAGTTCAAGTCTTGCCTTCGCGCCCTCGGCTACGATCTGCCGATGGTCGAAGAGGGCCAGCCCGATCCAGAATTCGAAAATATTCTCGGTAAGTGAGCCCAAAATTTTATTATTGCGTTTGTTAAACTTTTTTTTTTTTTATTAATAATAATAATTGTTTCTCACGTTCTTGCGATTTAGACATAGTCGACCCCAACAGAGACGGGTTCGTTTCCTTGCAAGATCATATGGCATTTATGATTAGCAAGGAGACCGAAAACGTTCAGAGTTCGCAGGAAATCGAAAATGCATTCCGAGCCATCACAGCTGCCGATCGTCCTTACGTAACGAAGGAGGAACTTTATGCTGTGAGTCATTGGGCTATGGCGTTTTCACTTGTGTCACTTGTACCACGATTAGAATCAATGATTAACCCTTTTTGTTTTTTCTTTGCAGAACCTCACCAAAGAAATGGCAGATTACTGTGTGGCAAGAATGAAACCTTATGTCGATCCGAAAACGGAGAGGCCGATAACAGGTGCTTTGGATTACATAGAATTCACGCACACGCTATTCCAGAATTAAATAGAATTTTATATAGTCTTATCACTCAGAGATCATTTATATACTTTTGTCTATCAAACACCGCTTTAAAAAAAAAAAAAAAAAAAAAACACTTCCAACATCTCGTCTAATACTCTCGCGTGTATGTTTATATGTACGCCATAGTTACAGTTGCTTGCGAGTTAGATTGTTATTAATCTTTAAATTATAACGACAGAAAATTATTTATGCTTACTATTAATATTATTTTGCTTTGACCCAAAGGGAGAATGAAGTTTATCATAAAATGACATAATAAAAGTATTGATAACGTTAATGTAGTATTTCAATGGTATCCTTACAAAATTTTTTTATTACTGGAATATCTTTGATATAAAATTTATACTACAGTATAATATAGATTTTCTGATGATCATGTTGTATTCCACGTTAAAATACAGCGACTGTTTATTGTTGTCCAGAAAAGAGAAGGGTACAGTAAAATAAATAAATAATTTATCAACTTGCTTGTTTCATTTATTCGCAATGTTCGTTAAAGTTTATTTTGCAATTATAAAATACCTAGCAAGTAATACTGAACGCTTTCATAATGTTTCAATGTTTGAGCGATGACGAGTACAAAAAAAAAAAATTCAATAAAAACAAAAAACAATAATCGTGCGAACAACAATATACATTTGTGTGAATATCTACACAGCATCTTGACAACAGCCTCAAAAGTTTTATAAAAAATATATGTATATAAGTATAAATACGGATATAAATATGAATAAGTTGTATGTATGAGTGTGTACATCTCGATGAATCACAAAAACTTCTCAGTTGCCATTCGCGGAAGGCAATAACAAAGTTATCAGAGAATGACGGATGTTCATCGTACCCCTTTCACTTGTGTAAGAGTCTTCTCAGTCTTTTGCTCATGAAGTAGGGCCTCTCTTTGGAACCGTCGTTGCGCTCGCAATCCTCGAGAAAGCACAAGAACAGCGTGTCAATGGCCGCCGCGTGAACCTTGAAGAACACCGTGGCTATCAAGTAGGACGCTATCGCCGTCATGGCCACCGGCACCGCCCAGCAGCTTACGTCATCCTTGCAACCGGCCTTGCTCGCGCTGCTGTTGGTATAATACCACCAAGTGGCTGCAACCGTGAGCGCGCTGATTAACAGCTTACCCAACAACAGTAGCCAGCTCGTGATCTGAAAATTAAATGAAGAAATAAATGATGCCCTCTGCGATTAAAGATAAGCTAACCGAAAAACACGGTCACGTATTGCATTGTGTAATAAAAGCACAGTGCAGATTGAATTGTAATTCTCAACGAGGACGATGAGAAAGCCGACCTTGTTTATGACGACGACGCGCACGACGTTCCGCATGAGAAGATTGAATGCGTCCCTGGCCGAGCTGCAGAAGCCCTTTCCATACACAGCGCACATGATATATGCTATAGGGTGGCACAGAAATGAATGATTAAATTTTTCCGTAAAATGTCTTTAGTCAAACTTTACTCACCGTTACTGTTGACGAATCGCAAAAAGTTCTCCAGCAGGTAAAAGAAACACCTGCAGCAGCACATTATGGCGTTGGCCACCTGATTGTTGGCCTTTTTCACCTTGTTGTTGATCACCTCGAGGATGAGCCTGATCAATCGGCAAATCGTCAAGATGAGAGATCCAAAGGCCAGCGTTCCCAAGTGATACCTATATATTACGTTCAAACATAATCGTGACGTTTTTTATATGACTGCTTGTAGTGCGTGTACGTATAACAAAAATGTACCTGATGGTCCTGTACAGGCCGACCGTAATGGTAAAGTAGGGTACGTCGCGTTTCCGGAAAGTCCAGTACCAAGTGGCGAAGGTCGCGGCTAAAACCATCTCGCCAAAGGCCGAGACAAAGAAGAACAGCCAGTAGAAGCCAATGATGTTGACCACGTGGAAGTGATTGATGAACCAAGGTCGGTCCTTCTTTAAGAGGTTGCAAGCCGAGAGGGTGCAGGGCTCACCGGTCGACCGTTGGACGCACTTGGCGTTAAACAAATCGGGATCGCACGACGAGTTGGCGACGTAGCGGAGCGAGGGCTCGCAGCTGCAGTCGTCGTTCATCATGTCCACTCGGTAGTTTGGCTTCCATACGGTTGAGAGGTACAGGAATATCGTCACTCCGTACGCTAAGACCAACAGGTGCAATAGCCACGGCACCAGCGGGAAAAACAAACTCGACAGTATGCACGTCACGGCCCTGAAACAATTACAGGGATCACACAAAGTGAATGGTTGCTGATGGGTATTCTTTCACCTCTGAGCAAAAATAAAAGACTTACTTGCTGGACTCTTTGATCAGTTGGCAAGCTAGATGGATTCTTTTTCGCAGAAACAGGGTTACCAGTACTATCACAGTGCAAAGGACGGCGCAAGTAATTAGGACGATTAGCCACTCGGTGGTTTGGTTTTTTTGGTAAATCAGTGACGCTTCGTATGTCGCGAAGCCCAGTAGACCGCACAATGTGAAAATTGTCGCCCAAACGCACGGCGTTGCCAGCCACCTCAGTATGACGATGTAGAAAAGCGATACGAATCCACTGATTATCGAGATCGCGAGCACAATGTACCTATGGAGCCATTTTTTTCAGCATACATCGCAAATCATAGGATAAATGAGTTACTCACTTGTTTTCCTTGGCGCTTTCAAAGGCCTTTTTCAAAAATTGCTCCACCTCAGCCACGGCTTTGACGACTTCCTTGGCGGAGGCGAGCGCCTCGTCCGTGATGGTGGCGTTGACAAACTCGTCCCAGACCTTGTTGGGGAAACACCGGCCGATTATCGAGGTGCTTTCCAAGTACCACCTGGCGCACTTTTCGTGATCGATGAGCATTTTAATTTCGTCGAGCCGATTGATCTTGTCGAGTTTAACGTCAATCTTGCAGATCAAGTCTTTTTTCAGTCGATTCACGTCGGTCATCCCAGCGTTGAAGAGAAAATTCTTTTGCGGGCACTGGCTCACGCAGACCTGCGTCGTGGGACAGATGCGATCTTTCGGAGAAATTTTGGCACATTTGGTGAGATCAAAGAACAACAGGTAGGGCTTGTTCTTAACTTGCGAGTCGATGCCGCACTTTCGGCCCTCGCTGTCGCTGGGGTGAAAGAGCTTTTCGATCCTTCCATTCTTGAAAGCTGAATCGTAAATATATATTATATTGTATGTACAAACATTGTTATATGCGCGATCGGTAACGCGATGCATTTGTGTCTATGCATGGGAAACAAATTTACTCACCGTAGTAGGAGACGGTGCCCCAGCCACCTAGGAAGATGATGAAGATTAGGAGCCAGAAACAATCGGTACACGATCGTTTGTGCAGTGGCCCTTTCCACGTAGGCTCATGATTCATTTTTCACTCCGGATCATATATGCGCTCTTGTTATCAAAAATTTGTTGCTCAAATACTGTGAAATAAATTGAATAATTATTTTATTACAAGTATATCTTACATCTGGTACTCTAGACGCTCTTTGAAAATAATATAGAGATCGCGACGAGGTGAGCTCGCAAAAATGAAATTTAATGCCAATCAAACAACAACAATCAACAATCAATTGATCAACAACACGAAGAGGATGTTGAATTTTATCAGTGAGAAAAACAATATTTTTTTTCTTCTTTGTTTTCTTTTTTTTTTTTTTTTTTTCCAACCCCTTATCATATTTCTTAGTAATGGTAGTCCATTGTTNTTTTTTTTACAGTTGGCACTCCGATTCAAGGTAACCGGCAATATCGATTGCTTTGGCGTTAATACAAAAAAATGAAAAATTCAAAGCAAGGCTCTCAGCAGTTATTCAATGTTTTTTTTAACCAGCTTCTTTTTTTACCAATTTATTATTTTTCATCGTGCACCAATTTGACCGAAGGTAACATGGAACGATAAACAGTAAAGTGAATTTTTGACGTTTTATTGAAATTAAAATACCGGAGGTTAACCATTGTCCTCGTAAGCGAGAGAATCACCCGCAACTTTGAGTATACATATGTAAAACGTGCGTGTATAATAACGTACGTGCCGAGAATGATAAAGTTGAAGAAAAAGAGCCCATAAGTGACAGGAGGATATGTGCATGTCCCACGTAAGAGAGAAAACGCCCAATTGGGATCATGTATAAAATACTATTTATTTATATTTGATAGAATATTTTCTCTATACGATACACATAGGCACTTTTATACACGCGGTAGCCACGGAAGGTCATAAAGTCGCATGATTTCGCTATACGTAACAGATGGAACGTCATGTAATGCAGTAACGTGATTATCTGTACTATAAAGTACGAACAGTAAAACTAAGTGTATAGGCACACACATGCATGGGAATAAAAAAAAAAAGAAACACACAATCGTACGATTGTGCGAGCAGAATATACAAGCGACATGCTTATATACTGATTCCAGTATCAAAGCGTCGCTCGCCGCTGTTATGCTTTGCAAACATACAAATGGTATTGAAAAAAAAAAAAAAAAAAAAAAAAAAAAGTGAGTAATACCTGTTACACCCAAAAAACCCTCATAACAAAGAACTTTCGACATGTTCATTTGTTGGATCGTCACAGCTAAACAAAATATATATCTTATTTATATCCAAGACGACGCTTAATGGTACATTAGTCGACGATCTATGACGAGACAATAGACTCTCTCGGAGCACCTGCCTGAACAAAATTATTACCCACTGTCTATAAAAATATCGTTTTCCACTAAAATATCGCTTCAACATCTCTTACCGAACTTACCGAGCACTTACTACAAGTCCGTGTTTTCGCGAAGAGGATTCGAAAAGCCGATGGGAGCTAGTACCAGCTAACGAGACAATGCAACTGACAATCACCGAGTATAATTTATTTACTTTTTCTTTTTTTTTTTTTTTTTTTTTTTTTTTTTTTTTTTTTTTTTTTAGATTTTAACCTCTGGTGTACAATTATACTGTATATTGGCCAGCAGAGCGCATCTCGAGCGCAGCAGAGCGACCGATCAAAACTGCGGCTGCGACGAATCTCGTGCTCCGCTCCACCTCGACCGAAAAGAACAATCGGCATTGCCCGAGAACGCGCTCTCTAAGGCGTTATAAACTCATCAACGGCGGGGGAAACTCACGCGCTCGTGTCGCCGAGTCGTCCTTACTGCGTAAGTATACTATGACCAATCAAATAACGCACGCAGCCGGCCAAGCCTTTCTACAGTAAGATACGTTCTCCGCGTATACGCAACAAAAGTCTGTATGGGGCGATTATTTCATTTAATTTTAAGTGGGCAAGCGTCAAAACGTTGCCGTTTAAGTGTTCCTTGAATGAAACTCCCGGTTTTCTCCCGCTGTCTGAAACATTTATGTGGTAGGTGTTTGGCAAGCCTTTGGTGTGTAAACTATCACGACATTTTTCATGTTGCGTGTCATTACGGTCGCTGATAAGATTGTTGTTGAGTCGTTTGCAACCGTGAAATAAATCTTGTTAGGATTAACATTAGTCATATAGGGGCTGTGTGTTGCTTTAGAAATTCGTTTTTTTTTTTTTTTTTTTACGCGAATTTATGGCATCAGCAAAAGAGTTAAATTGCGCTGGAAAACGTAATGAGTCAATGTTATAAAGAATAAATAAAATGAAGGTCAATTCTCGAAGATGTGTTTTAATTTGATTGAAAAATAACTTGTATTTCGTTAATGTGAGATAATCGCGCGGTCTTTTGGATTCGGAAAATTAACCAACCGACGCGCAAATTAATTAATGAGAGAATTAACACTTTCCGATCTTCTCCTTATCTATATAAATCTATTTATGTAATGTAGACCTTCGTGTAGGGAGTAAAGTGAACGTTTTTAAATTTATTTACAATCGAAGCGCATCTCGTAAAGCGCATTATATCAGATAGGCTCCAAGGAAAACAATTACTCATCTACCAGACAACAGTGCAATGATTACAGATAGTGTGCCTCATTTTATAATAAATAAAATTAAATTGCAAAACTTGGGGACTCAAAAAAATCATTTTTTGGTTTTTTAAAATACGTTTTTATCGATAAAATACGATCACAGTTGCTCAAAGAAAAAAAAAAAAACAAAAAAACAATCCTTCGATTTTTAAAACTTTTTAATTACAATGTGTTGAATTTCACTGACATATCCCCAACTTTTATGAATGTTTTTCATCCAAAAAACATCCACACGTAAAATACTCGCTTTCGTTCAAAATTATTTATACGCGTTTTCTGCCCTAAATTCTCAAAATACAACCGTGGGTTGGATAGATAGTGTACAGTCGAACGTAGTGCGCGGCCGTAAAATCGATACCTTTTGTAACTCTGATGTAGTAGTATCACCCTTATCATTACGTAATCCATTAACAGTATATAAAATTTGACCTCAGCGAGAAAAAATAAAAATAATTAATAATTTTAGCGCCTCGACGCCTGCACCCGCGTCAACGATTACCCAGTGCTATATGCGTATACGTCCGCGTATATTTAATTTGGGGATAGTGTTGACACGCAACGTTTTTATTATTTTTTCAGGTATTACACTTTTTCCTCGGATGGTCTCACCGAGTAAATATACAATTCTTTGTGACGATCGCACCGCAATCCTCGCACGCAAGTAATTTTGTTTTGCACAATCCGTCCTTTTATTTATTTCATCCCATCCTCCAACCACGGATTGCTTGTCGCAATTTTCCTTACAGTTATTAATCCAACAAAAACTTGAAAGCAAATTTTCTCTCCCATACCACAAAGCTGAAATCTGAAAACATTGAATTGCAACGAGATAGTTTGAAAAATCCCCCATCAATCTCTGCGCTCCCGCTCGCGTATCATCAATAGTGGGAAAAATACAATAGCACCGTCAAAGCGCAACTTAAGACTGAAAAACGGTCTCGCTTGATGGCAAAATCATAATAAGTGTAGTAACAAGCGCGATCTGTTCGCCCATCCGAGTACATGTGTACTTATTCCAACTGCACCCAACTTGGAAAATTGGAGTCCCGTTCTGAGGTATAAGTAACACACGTGAACAATGAGCAAGTAAGTATGGTTGTATATATGTATGGTGTGTATATGTCCCGCAACTCCGATTGTCTCGGGTTAATGAACTCGGGGGTAAGAAAGGGTATATACATGTATTATAGTGCGCAGAAGCTGGTGTGCATGGATTACATGTTAAAAAACGAGGAAATGTCGAGGTAAACATACTTACCGAGAAAGAGGAAACAACAACAGCCAACTGGTCAAACGCTTTTGTGACGTAACGACTAGATACCATAACAGTAATAAAAATATAACAACACTACTGTGTACCAATGATGCTGCAAAGAGGCGCGGGACGAAACTGATGATCTAAAATGAGCTTTGGCTGATGCACGAGCCACAACTGCGCGAATTGCGAGAGATCACTCGACTGCATCAGCTGTAATCTCTCTCTTTGAAACCTGAGGGAGGAAGAAAGATAAAGCGAGCAATGAAAGAGAGAGGAAGACGGATATGTGTGTGGGTACTTGTATACCTATAAAATATTATACGATTTACGATACCTATACATACCACACATATAGAGAGCAGCGATTGAGAAGAGGTGAAAGAAAAAGAGCAGAGGAACTGAATGTGTTGTATACCTATAGGTACTTGCCTTGAGATGAATGGGAGTTTATTTTCCCTTTGGGTATCGACAATATATTATATGCTTATAACTCGTTATAACAAGAATTTGCACGTGTTGCGGAAACATGCTAATATATTTTCAAATGAAAGCGGCATGTATAAAACGCACGCACTGGGGGAAAAAAAAAAAGAAATAATGATGGGTATAAAAATAACGAGCAATTGAGATAAAACTGCACGTATAAATTCAAGAGGAACTCTCAATGTTCCCTTATACGAAGTAGATATTAAAATGCGAGATTATTTGAAATGTAGGTACCTACTCACCTGTATACCGTGTGCACCTCTTCCATTGCCGGAGTTATTTCTCTTATCTTAAATTTTATGCCGACTGGTTTTTAGACTTCACGATTGTCCAGGACAAAAAATCTGAGGAAAAGTTGATCTTATAATTATTTTTCAGTCATACAGAAATGTACGTTTGGACATCAAAGTCTGATCAAAGTTTTTAGAAAATGTTTTGCTACGGTCGCTCGGTCTGCTGTACTGGTGCAACGTGCGGCGTTCGCGTTCCCCTCTGATGTTTACAGTTTACGTATGTACAATACCCAGCTATAGGTACTCAGCAGAGATAGCACATGCACACCTGTACTTTACCCCCCTCCCCCCTCTTTTGACGCGCAGAGCTTTGGGGGGGACAATGCGTCAGAGAAACAGCCCAGGATACCTATATTTATATCCACGACACGTGTTTAAATGCATTTATACATACGTATGCGTGTGTACAATACTGTTTTTCATATTTTGTAATATTTCCCAGGAGATTTTCTACAAAAGCCCAAACAATTTAATAATTAAATTAACAAGGTGTGACTCTCTGGTACATTTTGAAATTTCATAAGTAGGTCGATGGCTTGCTCTCTATGAAATATCAATGGTTCGTCATATTAATGACGGTTCCTAATTTTATCAAATTGTGGCAGCAGTTTAAAAATGATGTTGGCGCTAAGTTGTGGGAAAATACTTTTATTTGACTTTACAAAAATATAACAAACATTCAGATACTCTCGACGTTAAATCAACTTTTTTACTTTCTTTTTAAAGCTTCACAAAACCATGAAATTCTTGTCTCTTCGGCAAATAAATAAATAAATGTGCAGTTGAAGAAATTTTGCACATATAAATTTAATAAAGAAATTCCTTTTTCACCGTAGAATTGCTAATTTTCCAGTTGATCCAAGTCTATGTCTTCAAACGCCTCATCATCCATATTCAATAAATCTTTTAAATTCCCGTTGCTCAGATCAGCGTTTCCTGTAGGCTCAATTTTCGAGGAATTTGCCGATTGTTTGTTTGGCGATGTGAAGAAGTTGTCAATTTTCGGCTGATTCGATGTTGCCGCTGGTTGGTTTTCCACACATGCCTTATCTAAATCTAAATTTTGATCCAATCCAAACTCACTAAGAATGTCAACTTTTCTTAGGATTGCTGGCCACAAATAGTCGTCAACTGTTTCTTTAGCCAGCAAATAACGAATCACGACGTTACTCGTTTGACCAATCCGATGGACACGATCTTCAGCTTGATTTAGAATCTGTGAGTAATGAATTGAGTTGGTAGTGAAAATCCAAGAAGAAATGATTCTAAGAACTTGATTTTTTCTCAACTTACACCTGGATTCCAGAATAATTCAGCAAAAATGACAATCTGTGCTGCCGTCATCGTTATTCCCGCATTGGCAGCAGTTATAGATAATACTGCGGCTAACGTTTTTTCACTTTTTTGAAACTGATCAACAAAGTATTTTCTCTGCTCAGGATTCGTTTTCCCATCTATTCTTATGTACCTGAACACAATAATTGTATTTAGATATTTAACACCAAGTAAATAAATACACTATCAACAAGTATAATAAACAATGAATAATTTTATACATGATTTTCTTTGTGGCCAATAAATTTGATATTGCATCCAACATATTTTGATGATGTGCAAAAACAAGGAATTTCTGTTGACTCTCAATTAAATCGGTAATATAGTTGCTAAAATTAATAAAATCATAATTTTATGCTATATTTTTATCCTACATTTAATGAACGTCGACGAAAAATGTATGTCAATTACCAAACTGCCTTTTCTTTGGCTTTACTTGATGCACTATAATATTGCAGAAGCGCACTGCGTTTTTTACTGTTATCCTTTGACTCTTCAAGCTTTTTTGATGCACTTTTCATTTCTTCTGTTGCAGCTTTGATTAATTGAGGGTCGAGAATAATTTTTTGCCTACATGAAAATAATGAATTGTTAGTTTCTCAAGCTTGTACTTACACATATGAATTATTCAACTTTCATACTTTATTTTGGACGGTAATTGTGTCATGACATCAGTTTTTAATCTTCTAATCAAACAACAGGCTTTTAATAGCATTTCTAACTCTTTTAAATTTGAGGAGCCACTAAAATCCCATCCAAATTTATTTTGTACTCCAGCGCAATATCGTATTCCATAGTCTTTATAACTGAAAAATTAATTTTCAATTGTGAACAATACACTAATTATACTTGAGTATTTGAAACTTGATACAAACCTCATAAATGATGGCATCACCATTTTTATTTGAGGATGCAACTCTATGGGTCGCGATAAAGCTGGGGTTCCGGTGAGTAAGATTACGCGTGGACAGTTTGCAACTAGCCTCTGGACAGCTTTGGTTCGTTGAGTTTTTCCACTCTTCAGGTAGTGCGACTCATCCTGCAAATCAATTTTCAACATGTAAAATTGAATTTTTTTAAATTACTGTTTATGTATTTACTCACACAAATCACGACACCAAACTTTTTGGCTGCGATTTCGTCTATTCTTTTTACTAAAAGATCATATGAAATTATCGTTACTTGGCTTCTTTCCATCAAATCTCTAGTATTAGTAATGTGTTGTATTGATTGCACAAGTACAGACGGTAGGCTCTCTATGATTGCTTCCGACCACTGATACCTGTAAATTAAGTTATTTTGTCGAATATAACTTAAAAATTATTTGAAAATCAATGCTAAAAAATTCTTCACCTGACAGAAGATGGGGTGATGATTATCAGAGGCCAGTCTTTTTTAAAATAACAAGCAATTCCTAACGCTTGCCTTGTTTTACCAAGTCCCATATCATCTGCTATTAGACATTTTCCATCATTAAGTATTCCAAATCTAAATTTTGAAAATCACAGTATTAGAATAAATACAAATACGTTATTCTCAAACATAAAAATATGTACATACTTAATTCCTTCTATTTGAAAAGGATACAAAGAATCCATCAAGGCACTATCAATTTGCGAAAAATTTACATCTTTTTTTGGTTCCTTTTCTTGGGCTGATAATTTTTTGAAAGCCTAAAATATAATAAAATTAAATGTAGAATATATATCATGAACTGCTGAAAATTAATTTTTGAACTAGTTTCTTTATCTTACTTTAACTACAAAAATTGGAAAAGGCTTGAAAGTTACTTCTGCTTGTAAGGCACTAATTTTTTGTTGCAATGTTTCATAGTCTTGAAAGTGGAAATTCCATGTCTTGGTCTGAGTATCTATAGTACAGTGATTTAGCAATAATCAGTTAACATATGTTCTTATTTATTAAAAATGTTTAATGAAAAAAATACATACCATAAAGTCGAGACGGAATAGTTTTAAGTAAATCAATCAACTTTTGATGATAACTTGAAGTCTCAACGGCAAATCGATTATTAGTAAGCATAACGCAAGTGGCTTCACACATGGGTTGCTGATTTCCATAAAAGTTATTTGGACGCTGCATAGGGGAGTATCTATTGGATACACCTTGCTGTTTGAAAACTCTTTTGCTTTTATTTTGGTAATTTTCATTTGTGAAATTTGGTTTCGAACTGTAATTTTCATTGTTACGGTAATACGACGACTGGTTTTGGTTAATAAAATTACTAATTGCAGGAGGTTTCGTCACATTTGGTGTTGAAACTGAACCACTTGAGGTAACTGTTTTTTGCTGCATTCGTTTGAGCGCCTCCAAACGTTTTCTCTCGATTTCTTCTTTGGAGTACATCTTGTTCACTTATTTTGGCTGTTAAACGAATAAGAAAAAAAATTAATACTATGCATTCTTGCAGAGATGTATTAAAAATAAATCAAGTACTTTAAAGTTGAACCAACTCACCAATGATTTTAAGTGCTCATCCATGAAAAATATTGTAGGTCCTCTGCATAAGTAACTATTCGTCTCATAGTCAGCTAATGTTGCATTTTAGCATTTTCAAACAGTTTAGCACACAAAACAGGTACTTATATCCCGCACAACAAGGTAAGATTATAAAAACGAAATAAAACTAACTCACTATCACTTGTTCAAACTTGGAAATTTGGTACCTACATCTATAATTTCTTGTCAACAACCTGTAAACTGGAAAAAATGTCATGCCCCGTTCTTGGATTTTTTCGAGGTTCAATGTAGGGTACACACTACCAACCCATTCGAAAACAAAAGCTACTACGGCATGTAGATACACCGTTTACCGTAAACTAGGCAACTGGCAATGTCTTTGGAGAACTTGACCTGCTACCTGTTGTATTGTTTATGTTCCATTCATTGCTGAATTACTTACTTAATTCGAAGCTCGAAAGGGCAACTAAACAAAATCTGACGTAAAAATTATAAACGCAAGGATGCCAAGTCAAGGGTCAATGCCATACTGCTTATACATAGGACTTATATATATATTAGAGCCTTTGCAAAAGTGCATCATTTTTTGAATGCAAGCATTTGCAATCTAACTCATCTCTGCAAGCGCATGCACGCGGGATTCGATTTGTCAGCTGTTGGCACTATGGCACTGCTGCCTATACCTTACTATACTGTAGTAAGTACTGCCCATTCGCCCATTGGTACGGAATATTGGCTCGAATAGAAACTCGACTTGAAGCCAATGAAATCCATTTGATAAATGCATGTATGATTGCATGATATTTGATTAGTAGATGAACTAATACTCTTCCCGTTGATTTGTACTGTACTACTGTATCCATATGAACTCTGAATTATCCATACTATTTTATCAATGTATTCATGTTAGCGGCCGCGCGATTTTGTAGTTGCTTAGAGTAAATTTTTCAATTAAATATTGTTATCAGGTTATCACAAAGTCTTAATGAGAAAAATATAACGCTTCTACTTATAAGTACGTAAGCTAGCTGTTAGTTAGTACGAGTAAGTAGGGACGTGATCGTCGACTGTTAGTTGACTTGTGGGAAAAAAAGGATTGCCGGTCGATGTGTGCAATCTTCGAAAAAACGAGACCTCCAATTTCTTTTAATTTATAATTAAGTCTTCGACATTGTTCCAATGAGCGTGAAGTAATTTGTATCTTGTTAAGTGTTGATGCCCGAATTATTTTATCTTATATCAATATTAATTTTCACTGGAGGTTTTGAGTATCTTTTTTTTCAACTGGGGTGAACAGTTACTCTTAACCTCGCTAATCATGGCATCCAGTGCACCTCCAGCAACAGAATTCAAGTTGCCTTGTGAGTATAACAACATTTAGCTCTGCAGATACCTGTTTGCAAACCATTTTTATTTTACTAATACTCTTTGACAAAAGTACCTCCAAAGGAACAAATTAAAATGATATTTCCAGCTGATCATGAGTTTGTTGAACCTAAGAAAGCAGTCAAAAGTCCAAATGACATGGCAGCCTGGCACAAATCTGAAGCCTATTTTGTACGTCAATTTTTAGTTATAACATTTAACAACGAAAATTCTCTATTATTATTGTATTTTTTTTTCACCACTTTGTAGGAGTACTTTGGTTTTGTAATGGCCATTAATAATGCTGTCAAAGGAAAGGCCACCGATCCAAATTGTCCATGTTCAGAAACTGCAACAAAGATTGTTGATATGCTAGACAAATATGATAAGTGGATCGACGAGATTCCTCCTACAGAGCAACCACAACGTTTTGGAAATAAATCATTTAGAGAGTGGCATGAAAGGTTACACAGTGTAAGTAACATAATACAATGTAAATATTTTTGTGAAAATTTTTTTCATTCAATTGTGATACATGAGAGTTTTTTTAGGCTGCAGCCGATGAACTAAAAAAAATTTTACCCGAAAATCTGTACAAAGCTATACCAGAAATCGTTCATTATTTACTAGAAAGTTTTGGAAATGCAACACGTATAGATTACGGGACTGGACATGAAATGGCTTTTATTATGTTTTTATGCTGTATGTTTAAAATAAGTGCTCTTGAAATGAGCGATAAAACAGCCATAGGCACAAAAATATTCAGCAGGTATTTTGAAACTTGTGTCATTAAACCTTAAATTTACCTATTTATTGAGACACATAAAAAATCAACATACTTTTTTTTCTAATTTACTAAGATATCTCGAAGTTGTACGAAAGCTCCAGTTGACATATCGCATGGAACCTGCTGGCAGTCATGGCGTTTGGAGCTTAGATGATTATCAGTTTGTGCCATTCATATGGGGTAGTTCTCAGTTGTGTGGTAAATACACATTAATTTGTTTTATTTTCAAAAAGAAATTATGAACTGCAGTCACTGTTTACTATAACGAATTATAGGTCATCCACGTATTGAACCCGTACACTTTGTTGATCATGGGATAGTTGAAGCAAACAGTAAAAAGTATATGTTTCTTGGATGTATTGAATTTATTTCCAAGGTACCTTGAAGTTCATATTTTAAGTCAAAGATTGTAGAATCAATCATAATTGATCATTGTTAATAGAGTATTGTTTCATCATGCAGGTAAAAACTGGCCCATTTGCAGAGCACTCTAATCAATTGTGGAATGTTAGTGCTGTAGCATCGTGGTCCAAAGTTAATAAGGGTTTAATCGAAATGTATAAAGCCGAGGTTAGTCCATCACTCTCAATTTTTTAATTATTTGATAAACATTTTTTTCCTGGTGTGATTAATTTCCTCCATTTGTTCATTATTTAGGTATTAGCCAAGTTTCCCGTGATACAACATGTTTTATTTGGGTCGTTGTTATCCATCAAGCAAGCCCCAGACAGCGTAACTTTCAAAGCACCCAGGGCACCAAGTACACTAGGTGAACCTCATTAGCAGACTTTGTTTTAACTTAAATTGTCTATTACGTAAGTTTCCTTTATTTTACAACTTGTATTTTATATTTATAATAAAGAAACAGTCAGTTCAACAAGTTATCGTGGATAAATAGTATTATTCAAAACTAGTCCATTGTTTTGGGAAATGTATTTTTCCATTTGAGTTTATTTCTTAAACTAATTCAATTATCAGTAATGAATAATATATGGCTTATTACGTGCTGGTACTTTATTAACAGTGAGTAACTGATACTTGATAAAAATTTGAAGGTTTCTTTATTATCAACAGGTTGTCGTGTTCATATAAATTACACTTTAAAAGAGTTTACTATTTGTACCGAAAGATGGCCGAACACCACATAAAAAATACGCAATAGTTGTAAGCTTACTCGATATAATAATTTTGAGAAAATAATTTAATTACAAATCGGCCAAAAGTTGCCTCAGATTAAAATTCTGTATACTTATACGTACCCAAAAAATGTTAAACAGAAAAGGGGAAAAAAATGGTTAATATCGAAAGTCTGACAGAAAACGAAAATAAGGATTTTCTCAAGTCGATGGAAAGTGTAATTTGAGAAATAAGCGAGTTTACAGAGATCTTTGAAGGTTCACTAAGCTATTGACTACTTCTGTTTGCTATGAGCAAGAGGGGGGGGGGGTCAAAATAATCCAAAGTTGCGATGCGCAATAAAAACCTATCTAAATAATCAGCTATCAGGTGGGAGAGGGGGGAGGGGTAGGGTTACTTTGCCACCGTTTGCCGTTTTAATCATTTTGAAAAATTGTACTTTGCTTCCATACGATTCAGAATCTGCGGTCCCTGCCGGCGGGGGCGAGACGTGATTGCCCCGCGGCAACTGTCCTGGTGCGAACAGCGGTGATACCTTGGTATAGGCGCCGAGGGCACCTGCTGAGCGGATTCTCCCGCCCGCACACCCTCCTCCGGTAAAGGTCTCGCACTCTTCTGCTCCACCTCGTCGATGGATTGGAGGGAGCTCGCTGTCGTCTTCCTCACTTATAGCTTCTACAGAATACGCGGACTCACAACCTGTAGTGATAATTTAGGAACAGGGACGTGGTTGACAATTAACCATAGACTCGTATCTAATTGTACATATATATATATAAAATGTTCCTTTATTGTGTACTTTCCAAGTCCTTGTTTAAACATCCTTTTAATTATATATACATATTCGAGCAGTCTGACTGTTGTTATGCTGGTGATTGATCCTCTAAAAATCCGAAAATCAATTGTTTTTTTTCGAATGAAAAAGAAACACTTACGGTTTTTTGGAGCCAACGCTGACCATTCTGATACCGTTCGGCAGTGACCCTGTAACTCTTTGACGCACTTTTTGGCCAGCTGATAGATCTGCCCATCAACCGATGGATTTGATGATGTGAGCCGCTCACTGATTCGTCGGTCCCTCTCGCGAACGAATCGGCCCACGAGATACCGTTTGCCCTTTGCCCTTGTACGGCTCTTTTGTATTTTCATCATTATCATCATGATGATCTTCATCGTTGTCATCGTTGTCGGGGCCGCCGTAGACGGATCCCATGGAGCCTGATTTTGAGATTTTTCTCACGCATCTCTGAGCTGCTCGGCAAGCCCGACGATCTTCTTATCCCTCGGCCGTCTCCTTCTCCAAATCGGGAAGCGGGCCCTCTTGGTACTGCTCAAGCGCCACCTCCTCGTTGGACTTTTTTTGTTGGCAATTCTGCCGTTCGAAGAGGTCGCAGGACATGGACCTCCGACGTGCCCTTCCGGTTTTTCCCTCGATCGATGATGCAATAATCCACTCTGTCGGGGGCTCGCCCAGGTATATCGGGCCTTTGAACGGATCATTTGCCTAGGGATGTGGTCACCCGAGTCGTGGTCCGTTGAGGTCGGTGATGACTCGAAACCTTCCTCGTTACGGAGGTGACCCGATCGTCAGCTCCTGCCGCTCCTTTGTGCCTTGGACTGTTGTTTCTCGTTTTGCGACCGTTACATGGGGCACAGGTGACGAGAGTTTAGGTGGAATTATTCGAGACCGTTTTTTGGATCCCCAGTCGTTGACACGTGTCTCTTCGACATTTGCATAAAATTAGCGGCCGTACAATGCCAGCCTTGTCTAGCATCCTCATGACGTTGACGACCAAATCGCGTAATGATTTGGGTACCTTGGAAGTTGAAAAACAAAAAAAAAAAACAATTTTTCGGCCCCTGAGCGAATACTCGATCTTTAGACGAAAAGTCGCTTGTCACCCCAACAGCTTGCTCATAGCACATGTAAAAAAGAAGGTTGTCATGAAGCTTTGATTGTCTCATTCTCTAGTAAGAATTATTGTATAAATAAGACGCATTTCAACGAGTACGAGTTACATGTTCCAAGTTTCTCGGTATTTTTTTTTTTTTTTTTTTTTTTTTTTTTTTTTTTTTTTCTAGTGGACTCTAACTAAACGAGTAGTGTATATATTTTTACTGGTTTTGTTCCACAAAGTGTAATATTACTTGAAATCAGCCAGCCTTTCATTGGAGTATAGTGATATTAGTATATACATATATTTATCCTATAATAAGTGCGTCAAATCGTTTATTGTTGTGCCTTGAGTAAACATTTTATTAATTTTTTTTTTCTGACAGATATTTAGGTTTGAAATTTGTAAAAAATAATTGTTACACTTCTGAAAAAGTTCAACTCGCAGGGCTACCACTTTTTAAAAAGTTGGTACTCTGTAGCGTTGTGTTAATGTCTTGTAATATATGCGTATCAACTTTATTGGTTGTACAAACAGTTGTTAACAAACGTATTTTATAATTATTTGTCAAGTGGCGATACTGCTCTGCGTAGAATATCATATAAGTATAAATTTTATAAAAAAAATCGACGAAACTCAATAAAAGTAACTGCTCATTTGGTAATTTTCTCAATTAATCTTTTCAATTAACGCCTTTGTGATTTTAAAAATAATAGTATCGAAAGATATCGAATTTGTTCGGCAAACTTCTTCGGCAGAACAAATAAGTACATAACGAGCAATGACCCTCTCGGCGCCTGATATCATTGAAAATTTTCACCAACGATTAGCTGCTAATTGGTTATGCTTGAAATTCGTACAGATATTACTCACCGACGCGATTTTTGTTTTTCATCGATTTTGTCTATTTTTCTTCCAGAAATTCACCATTAAAATAACTGTGCACGTTTACAATTTCACTGAATCATCTTACATATAAGCATTGAAGGATAATCATTAAAATGTTGTTTGAGTTAAACTAAAAAAGGAATTGCCTTGTTTTTTTAAATTTCATGCTTCTCACAAGATCCAAAAAGGTAAAAATTATAAATTTTTCATTTACAAGGACAAGTAAAACACATTGTGAAAAGTGAGTTTTTCATCATCTTGAGGTATCGCAAAAATTGAACCATTGAACCACGTTGATAAAAAATTCTACAAGAAGCCTAAAAAATTGAAAAAAAAAAAAGTATAGTATCGTATACAATTTGAGCCGAAAGATGAATACTATCTAAAATTGTCGATCCACCCATTGTGTTGCTACCATTATATTCGATGATTAACCAAGTAGAAAAAAAAAAAAAAAGTACAGCTAATCTATAGCCTCCGAAAATTCGGCACGGGTCGACGAGAAAACGTACAGATATCGGTCTCGCCAGGGCCAACACATGCATATACGTATACATATATATATATGTATACGTATTCGGCGCCGTAAAAAGTTTGCGCGTTGAATTTATTAGTGGTTCTCTTCGCGTCCGCCGGGCCTTCCAGCAGTGGTCGGCCTCCCTCTCTCCTCTCGTACATTATACACGTCCGCGTATACCTGTATGTATACATACTATACCGCGCCGCCCGTTCCAGCACCGTCTCTCTCTCTCTCCTCTTCTCGGCGCAAGAAGCACGAGCCGTATATACGACCACCCATGTATCATCATGCACGTCGCGTATCGCATCCTCGCTCCCCCCCCCCCTTTTCGCTCGCTTAAGCACCGCTCGCGCGACTATACTCCCCGACTCCTATATATATATATGTATACAGGGCGCTCGTCCCGATGCAAACGAAGCGTCCCGCTCTCGTTTCGTGCCGCCGCCGCTTCCGAGAGGGAATTAAGGAATCTGGTCTTCTCCTCGGGCCCTCCTCCCTCCGGGGCCGGTTCGGCTGGTAGCAAATAAGTCGAGAAAGAGCATCTGTATGGTGCACGGATATATATATATATATATATATATATATATGTCCAGGCGTTGCTGGCCGCGGAGCAAGAGAAAGAAGAGTTTGATGCTGCGAACGGGACCGGCCAACCTTTTTCCCGTGTACGGCCGGAGAGCTAAACTATATACATATACACCCCCCCTCCCCTCTGCTAATTGAGAGATACTCGTCCCTCCGTGGGTCCAATGTAATATATATAATATATGTACCTGTGCATCCACACGAGAATGCGACCAATGAAGGAATATCATGGGAGACTGTTCTCGAGCTCACGTGAGTGTATATATATATATATATATATATATATACGGGGAGACAGCAGCGGGGCACGCACGGAACATATTATCGGGCCGAAGATTATATCGATTTTTGCGTCCGTAGGGTATATAGGCTTGACTCCCCCGTTGGTGCCTATTTTAGAGAGGGAGGAAGAAACACTGGTGTGTGTGTGTGTGTGTATACATATATAGATGGGGTTCGCACGCCCCCTCCGCGTCCTCGGTGTGTATACGTATAGGTATAGAGACGGGCTCCCCCTATACTACCGCGTCAATCACTCGACTTGGCTCCTCTATCCGCCTCTCGTGGGGGGGTGCGGCGTAGCGCGCTTTCGCACTAATTGATTCCCCGGACCTACCCCCGCCGGCCTTCCTCTTTCCGTGTGCCTCCCCTGGTATATATATATATGTATGTATAGCCGGTCACGAGCTGCCCCATCAGACCGTCCCGCAGTCCGTGCGCCCGACGCTATTGTATATTATATATATACGTGTCGAGTCCCTCGGAGCTATTTTCCTCCTTTCCGCCCGATATATGCGGTGGACGCGTCTTTTTGACCCCGCGCTTATTTTCACCCGTCGGGAGATCGATCGATCCTGTATGCGCGACTGCCTGCCTTATTCATTTTTCGCTCCTTACATATATACATACCTGCTGTTCGTTAAGCGTGTATATATATATAGATTCGTGCTCCCTGAGGTGATGGGTTTTCGGGTGCTCTGGTTACTTTGAGCGGATTTTTTTATTTATTTATTTTTTTTTTTTTTATAAAAGTGACGCGAGGTATCCTCACCTGATATAATCACGACTGAGAAGGAGGAGAAAAAAAAATAGAGAAAAGTATTTATAATGAGTTCACCAAGAACGAAAAAAAGGTATATGGATACACACATAACAGCGCGTGCATGAAGAGGCCGATCCGGCGAATAACGATACAAAGGGGCAGGAGGGACCAATCAGATCGGGGCTAATTAATCGCCGAGACTTTAACCGATCGTATATCCCGTTTCTCTTTCTCCCCCGGCCGCCCAATTTTCTCCGCCTCGGCGGAGCTTTACGTTCCCTCTGCAATTAGTTGATTGAACGATAATTGACGCCCCACCCGGGAGATGCATCTATGTATACGTGTCCTATATTGTACAGCGTGTATACCTTATACTCAATGCTGCAGCTGATGTAAACTAAAAAAAAAAAAAAAATTGCAAGTTCAAGTGTTGAGGTACATTTTTTTCTTTTTTCTTTTTTTTTTTTTTTTTTCGATCGAGTAATCTGTGGTGCAAATATAAGCAAGTGGTATACTCGAGAAAAGGTCCCAATTCCCGGTGTACTTGTTAGAGGTGGCCGCAAATATAAGTGCACACCCGTGATGGAGCGGCCAGGGGCCAACTGAACCCTCGTCGCAGTCGTGTGTATTATACACAACTTTTTCCAAGGGACAACGTAGCCAAGGGGGGGGGCATTTTTCCCCGTCAATAGAAAAATCCGGAGAGCGAGAAAAAAGCCGCAGCTTCGGCTGAAATCCAGTCGAGGGTGCGAATA